TATTTAGTCCAAAACAAAGGTCACCAGCAATGAGATGAAAGAGGAAGCGTTTGGAAAGTGCAGATTTAAATATTTTTACAGTTTTAGAAGAAATTTTTTAAAGACAAAATAAAGTCTTTGTAAATGCTTTGTTTTGTTGGTTAACGATGGTTTAAACATGTGGCTATGAAAAGTTTTATGCACAATACATTGTTTGAAAAATGCCACAGATAGCTTCAACTGGTTTGAAAAGTTGTGTAATTTTAGAAGTTATCCGGATAGCAATAAATAGCAATAAGGTGTATTTCAGAGAAGTAGAAATAACAGACAAAGTTCAAAATCAACGATAACGTCAATTTGTCCTGTGGAATTGAATTCAATCTCAATTTATAGATAATAGATATAAAATCAAAAGACCCAAATTGTCTATTATCTATGCATTGTTTTTCAGATAATACAAAACAGTTCATTAAACATATTTATAGGATTAAACTCCTATTTAATATTACCGTACCACTTCGACCTTTAGTATGGAAGATGCATCATTCAGCAGCTAGCAAAATATCTTAAACATTTTATTGACATCTGTTAAGGTTTCTAAGGAGAGTATGAAGCGATGACCATCATAAAATAGAACAAGTCGTTTACCCTTGACCTAAGTCATTTTGCTGCAAATGGACAAATAACTTCAAATTAATAGACTCCATCTCATTATTATTTACACTAGCAAACCATTTATGCTGGAATAAAAATGAGATTGTGTAAATCGAATCATGTCAACCAAATGATAAATCCTTGTTTGGCTTTCAATTTTGATATTATTTTCCTTTTAATAGCTGAAAACGCCTTGTTTATGCGCTACCCATACCTAGCTACGGGTTAAATTCAAGGTCACATGAATATGGATTTAATGAGATCAAATTATTCACTTGCAAGTGAATAATTCATCAGCGATGTTCCTTAGCTTATTTTGACAAAATTAAAGCAAACTTGCAGCTAAAAGCAAATTATTATTTTACTATTTCACTTTCATTAATGTTTGAACAAAAACAAAATATATCTCGAAGCTAATGCCCCTTTGACGTGTCCAGGTGTTATTGATCCTTGGCTTTCAAATGTTTGGGTTTGAACTTTCCTGATTAAGGTAAGTCCAGAAAAGGGCTTCGGACGCACAAAATTACAAAGTGTTATTTTAATTTGCTAGCACTGGGTCGATACCACTGCTGGTGGACTATCGCCGAGGGTATCGCAACTTAGTAATAAGTGCTTCGGTACTGACATGATATTAAACACTTGGAACAGGCGCAAAAATACGGCGGGTTTAACATGTTTTATGAGATCACAACCTTCCCAGTATGCCTCAAGCTAAAGTGGAGTAAACAAACACACAGTAAAACGCACAGTAAAACTCAGTTTTAAAAAAATCCGATGTTGAATAGTTAACTGAAGAAACAAAGCAAAATGACAATGATAAACATAAATTAACAAAGGACTACTATCAGTTAATGACATGCCAGCTCCAGACTTCAATTAAACTGATTGAAAGATTATGTCTTCATCATATGAAAATCAAGCACTATCCATCCCGTTAGGCGTTTAGTATCATGCCATCATAAATTATACGAGAAGAACATAACCCGTATCATGCTAACAACTGGTTTTAGAAAAAAATGTGTTTATTTCCGATGCAACGACCCTACGAGCGAATCAATATTAATTCCAAAAAATGCCATCTTTAATGACTTGACATCAGTATCGTAACTATATCCCTTACGAATAAGTCAGTTGAAAGGTTTGGTTAGCTTTTGAGGTGAATGACGACATTTTAAAATTTGTGTTTTGTATAGAATATTACCGTAAAAGATAGGATGTGAAATACCTGAAGGTATAAGGTGTCTGCAAGTCTGGATACCTGAATTACATAAGTGTCCTTACAAACAACGTACAATTACTAGTTCTTCCAAGAGCTACACAAAACCTCTTTCCAAATTTTTAATATCAATAATTTGATCAGCAATCAAGGCCTAGATCTACAGTTTTTGTGAAACTCCTTATTCTAGGGGTGGCATGAATCAGATGTGTTTACTAAAATCCTTCAAACATCTGAGTACATACAATCTAAATCTCTGACCTTTTTTGTAACAGTATTAAACCATTTGACTTTTTCTACACTTTAAACAAGTTATCTCCACTCCAAACTCAAAGACGATTGAAAGTGTGGTCTTGCTTTGTTTCATACAAAGGAACGGCCAACGTAGATACAATTATCGTTTCTTTAGGAGGGATAATTCGTACTTTGTAAAATCTCACTCTGATTCAAACAAACAATTCTTTGAAACTGACATTATCAAGATACCTGATTTCCTGATTGATTGTGAACCAACTGTTCATTTTTTCATGCCGACTTGTTTCTTTATTCAGGAGCTTCTTAGGAAATATGAAAAGAGGCTAACGTTATCCTTTACTTCACGTTCTGCCTAATGAATGATGTCCTCTCGCTAAATAGTTCAACGTTTAGTGACTATGTAGAACGCATTCATCCCATCGAACTTGAAATAAAGGATATAATAGATACAGTTAAGTCCGTCGCCTATATTGAATTACATCTACAAATTGACAATGAGGGTCGGTTGATTTCTTTGATAGAGGATTGCTGCTTACAAGGAAGCCAATAGTTTCAAGTTTTGAAGTTAAAATCATCCATTTGAAAATTTTACGGACGGCATCACGAGTTGGTGACTGTTATAGAATATCTGTTTCACAGATGACGACGGATATATTCCAGTTGTCCTAACTTCAATCCCGTCCTCTTTTCGATTGTGACCTACCAAATTAGACTAACCGCCGGATTTGTAATTACTTGAGCAACTCGACTGATGCCAAATGTCGAGCAGGATCTGCTCACCTTTCTGGAGCACCTGAGATCACCCTCCGATTTTGGTGGGGGTTTTGTCGCTCAGGCTTTTGTTTTCTGTTTTTCGTTTTGTATACTTGTGTTTTTCTTTCGATCGTTTTTTAGTTTTTTGCCATGAAATTGTCAGTTTGTTTCCGATCGATGAGTTTGAATATTCTTCTGAACAACCAGGACGAAAACATCGAACAATATTACGTTGAAGATTACCAATGAATAATATATCTTATCTCGACCATCGTTAATCATTTTATACACTTTCAATTGTACTAACTAATTTGATATGATCATCTTAAATCATTTTTAGAACTTTAATATTTCTTTTGTGAAATGCATATCAATTTATCAAGAAACTGATTAAAACTATTTTTCAGTTCGTGCGAGTACTCTTAGATCGTATCTTTGCCCATGTGTCCTTTGGTCTTTATAGATACTTTAATTTGTTTCATTGGCAATAAACCACATTTATCTTATTTTTATAAACAAAGCTTTAATATTTACCTGAATGGAATTCTTGGAATGAAATTAATTATTAAGTTCAACACATCAGAGAAAATATGTACTAAAATATCTTTAACCCTATATATAGTTTGTACTTCATAATCACAAACGTTTACGTCAGATCACTTTGACACATGTAGCAACTAAACATATTGCAAAAACCATTATCAACGTCTGTTGCATTAAGCAAAGATCAAACTCTAAAATATGTCGTTGATATTTAACCTGATAATGAACTAATAAACTAAAATCAAATGACCCTAAATCGATCTAGACTTACGGTTAATATACCATATAAAGATAAGAAGATGGGGTATGATTGCCAATGAGACAACGCTCCACAAGAGACCAAATGACACATAACTTAACAACTATAGGCCACCGTACAGCCTTCAACAATAAGTAAAACCCATACCGCAAAGTCAGCTATAAAAGGTCTCGAAATGATAAAATTAATGTAAACCAATTCAAACGAGAAAACTAACGGCTTGATTAATGTACAAAATAATGAACGAAAAACAAATACTATATACAGCAACAAACGACAACCACTGAATTACAGATTCCTGACTTGGGATAGGCACATACAGAATGTGGCGGGGTTAAACTAGTTTGAAGGCGCAAACCCCCCTAACCTGGAACAGTGGTGTGACAGTACAGCATAAGAACAAACTATAAAAATCAGTTGAAAAGGGCTTAACTCATCTGATGGATACAAAGCAGAAATACATATAAAAAAACACAGAGTGGACGTGGCGGGGTACTTATACATCCCTAAAACAAAAACACTCTAAGTACAGATCTGAGAGTACTCGCAGTTACTGACAGCTAGATCAAAGCCAATAAAAACTAATAAAAAAAATCATGCATCTAAGACTAAAATATCAATTAGTACACATCAAACATCCAATGGATTTAGTGTAAAGACGTCATTAAAAGTCAGAGAAAAACATGACCATGTGCTATGCCAAGATACAGGTATCGACAAATTGTAAAGCCATGAATGTGCATATATATAAAAAAAATAATTTTTAGTTTGATTTTAATTTACTGATAATAAAATCAATATTAATACAAATAAAAACAATACTCAAAGATCTAATTATAGTGTTGAATTGTCAAATACAGAAAAGAAAATAACTCAAATAGGAAGTCATCTAATAGCTTAGGCAGAATTGATTGAAAAAAGTAACGAACAATTTGGTAAAAAATATCTCGATTAAGAAGGTGAATCGATGACAAGAAACACATTGTTACAGCTCTCCTTCAGAAAAATGTTCGGTTACACAGAGTCAATGGCGAAAGCGTAATCACTGTTCGATATTATGTGTTTAAAAGCTTTTCAATATATCGAAATACAGCATTAAAAATTAAAACGCTAGAGTCCGTAAAATTCAAAACAAAATCAAAATATATATTTAAGGTTAACTTATAAAAGACCTACATATAATAGGTAGGCAGAAAACAGTATCAATATTCATAATCTAAAGTGTTTTTGTAATTTTTAAATTGAAATGGATATACATTGCAAAAATGAGAACTAGCATATTAAAATTCTATACTTTTGGAATAAAAATATAAAATTTTATGATATAAACTGCTATGAGAAATTATATTATTTAATGTTTACTTCCCTTTTATTTATCTTACTTACTTATTAGACAATATTTAAAACAACTCACAATTACAACTTGACTAAAATATTTTACTCTACAAAATCAAATAATTTCGCACACGACAACTTTTCCTGTTCGATAGCATGTGACAAAAAACTGGTTGCTATTTTTCTTGAAACGTATAACCCACGGTTGTTTGATTCCAATTTTATCGGTTGGAAAAATTCTAACCAGCTTGCCATTGTTACTGAGTTGGTGTATATTTTCTGATTTATATCCGCAAATATACACATTACCTTCACAATCGACATCTATATCTCTCGGGCTTTTAAGCTTACTATTTGTGTAAGTAAATGCTTTTGTATTATTAACCATTCTGGTCACTGCATTTTTTCCATCTGCACAAATATAATGTTTTCGGTCTTCTGCATGAATAAAATAGGTATTCCCGTTTGTTCTGGCCTGTTCGTTTTTGACACCAGTGAAAGTGTTTATCCAGGTTAAAGTATTACTACATGCAAGAATAAATTCTCCATTGATATGACAGAATCCATGAACTGGATATGTGTTTTCAATTCTACGGCACAATGACATGTCATGCGTGTTGATGATAAACATGTTATTTAAGTTTGCTGATATCGCAACTATTGTGTCATTTATTTTATCTATATCGTAGAGACTGTTTGGTAGCTTTAGTTCAGCCAGACAGTCTCCGTTGTCACTATATTTGAATACTTTCAATAACTGACTATGCGTAAAGATGAATTCATCTTTCATAAACAGACCACTTAGATAGGCAAAATATCCAGTAAGATCAATAACTTTAATTACATTTATATTCTTCGTGTGGAAATTTACATTCTTCACGAATGATAAATTAGGACAACTTGCGTTCATTTCGACCAATTTAAGAACTCCTATAACTGCCATTCTATCTGCAAATTCTTCCGCTATTGCATTAGTCTCTAGAAGCATGGACACATTCTTCATTCCGCTTATACCTTTTGTAAATAAATCACCAAATGTCACCATGTTTTCGTTAATTCTATTCATTTCGAGTAAACACTGCCGTTCGGATCCATGATGTAATCAGGTATCAAATATAGCAATGAAGTTATCAACAGTACTTTTCAGACTTTCAAGTTCTGTTGACTTTTCGAAAAGTTTTAGAACTACTTCTTTTTTTGATTTGTTTATTTCGTCTTTAATTTGTTCTTCAATTGTGTTTAAATGCTTAACAATGTTATCCTTTATGGCACTGACTTTTGTAAGAGCAGCTTCAGCCTCTTTTTCGAAATCGGTCGTATGGTCTTTCCTGTTTTGTATTAAATCAGACAGCTGTTTGCTTGTTTCTTTTAGTTCTCTAGACAATTCCATTACTTTTTCAGATTTTTTTATACCTGAAGCCGCCGCTTCGATTGTTATGACATCTTCGCATTTTTTATGCGATAAAGTCGCACATAATGTACATAAAGGTTTAGAATGATCAACGCAGTAAGCCTTTACTACCTCCCCTGAATGTTCTTCGCAATATATCAACGAAGGAATGCTTACCGTTTCTTTGTTAGTTACAATGTCTTTCAGCAACATGATCGGGTGTTTTGCAGTCATCTTGAACGATTTATGACATTTGTCACAAGATTCACAAAACGCCTCTTCACATACAATGCACCAAGAGAACGCATTTTTCGATTCATTGTTCGCATTACAAGCATCGCATATTTTTTCGTGTCTTCGTATTGCTTGTCTATTCACCAAAGAGGCAACAAAATGATTACCTGGTAATTTTTCAGCCCAGGTCTCCGGATTTCCTGTTGACTCTCCCATCAAAACATTCTGTCGACAAATCGGACACTTAAAGGTCGCTTTAGTTTTTTCCTTCTCCACGGTGGACAGAATATAAGTGTTAATGCATTTCGTGCAGAAAGTGTGGAGACATGGTAAATATTTAGGCCCTGTAAAGGTCTCCAAACAAATGAAACACGTCAAGAAATCATCAAAATTACTTTTTTTGTCCGGTGCAATCGCCATTTTGAATACAAGTAGTTAAAATTAAACTTCCTTGTCACTAGTCTCGATTACCCTGACTTAAATATGAATATAGATTCAGGTTTAACTTACCTGTGTGACAAAATATTTATATGAAATGCAACTTATTGTCTAATATATATCTAATCTATGAATATCACTTCCGCTATCCCTATTGCAAGAACAGTAAACACGAAGCAAAGTGGGATATACATGAAAATATTAAACAATCTGGCATTCTGTGAGTCTTCTCTATGATGCGGGATGAGCATTTTCAGTAAGAACCATGCTGATAAATATGCAAATACATTTATCTCCTAATTTGATGATTGCAAATACTTATTTCCTGGCTGCACTGATGTGTTTTCAGCAATATCAGCTAAATTTTTCAATTGTTGCTGACAAGTGATAAAATACAATACCGCTCTAAAGAACTTGTCAATTGTACCGCATTGTTCTTTTCACATTAATTTTACAGGATGATTTTATCAGTTATTTAACTGATTTAAGTTGTTTTTCTAATTGTTTTTTCTTCTTTTAAAGTTGACCTGTTAAGAAGGGAAAACACGTAAAAGGGGTTTTATTCTATTTGTTTAATGTTGAATAACAATGGAGATAACTTTAATAGTAAGAAGGACATGTTTATACAATGAACATGTATTCAGCGATTGTAAATTACTTCTTCGATGCCTTTGATGTGCAGGTGTGAAAATGAAGAGACAGTTTTCAATCTTAAATGTTGTAAGTAGCTAGGTAATTAATATTATTTTATCTAAATTTAAAAAATTTGAATTTGTATGGCATCTTCCCTCGACAATTAATGGTACAAGGTGGTTGAGGGGCTGGTTCCTGCTATTGATCCAGATGAATGCTTTAAACCAGAAAGACCAAGACGAACAATCACAGCCAAAATCTTACGAACATTCATAATTCTATACCCATGGTATTTTTGTCATACAGCTTTTCAACTGTTTCGGTACTTATACATCCCTCGGATTTCAAATGTTTGGCATTGAGCGTTCCTGATGAAGGTAAATCCAGAAAAGCGCTTCGGACGCATGAAATTATTAAACGTGTTGTTTTCAATTTTTTACATCACTGGGTCGATACCTCTGCTGGTGGACTGTCAGTCCCCGAGGGTATCATCAGCTCAGTAGTCAGTACTTCGGTACTGGCATGATTTATAACAAACTTTTCTAAAATTGTCCGTTTATAAATTTTGAAACTATAAAGAAACTAAGGTTTCAACTCCCTCAGGCAAAGTTGACCTTAGATGACTTTGGCTATTTGTTTTAGGTATTTTTGTCATATAGCTCTTCAACTGTTTCGGTACTTATACATCCCTTGGATTTCAAATGTTTGGCATTGAGCGTTCCTGATGAAGGTAAATCCAGAAAAGCGCTTCGGACGCATGAAATTATTAAACGTGCTGTTTTCAATTTTTTAACATCACTGGGTAGATACCTCTGCTGGTGGACTATCAGTCCCCGAGGGTATCATCAGCTCAGTAGTCAGTACTTCGGTACTGACATGATTTAAAACAAACTTTTCTAAAATTGTCCGTTTATAAATTTTGAAATTATAAAGAAACTAAGGTTTCAACTCCCTCAGGCAAAGTTGACCTTAGATGAATTTGGCTATTTGTTTTAGGTATTTTTGTCATATAGCTCTTCAACTGTTTCGGTACTTATACATCCCTTGGATTTCAAATGTTTGGCATTGAGCGTTCCTGATGAAGGTAAATCCAGAAAAGCGCTTCGGACGCATGAAATTATTAAACGTGTTGTTTTCAATTTTTTCTATCAATGGTCATAAAATTCAGGCATTACATTTTTAGTAACGTTTACTCTCTTTCCTTCAGGAAACGCCACAAATCAGCCCCTTCTAAAATACCAACGACTCCAAATGGACCAAGCATTGATACGAGCAATAACGGTGATAATAATCATGAAACAACCCCCGACATACAAATAGGTATAAACAACATGGGCCTTGTGAAGCAATCAACATATCAAATAACAAAAGAACAATAATTTAATTTGATAAGGAATCATTTTCAACCAAGAACAAACTATAACTTTTCCGTAAAGAAATTGCGTAGGAAAGAACAGACTGTTTAGGAGAAATTGGATGATTCGATATGACGGGCTTGTATACTCCCCTCCAAAAGAATTTCGAAGGAACTTATTGTATATACTATGCTCTATTTGAGGTTGATAATTTCGAAATCCTAACATACAAACCATTCACTGATATGGCACATGCTTGTACTAGACTAAACGAACATTTTGACCAAGGATGTACAAGAACCGAAACATTTGAAGAGCTATATGACCAAAAAGAACCTAAGAAATAGCCAAAGAGCTGTTAGAAATATACATTTTTGTGTATTTTAGGTACAGTCTTCATATAAAGCCCACTTGCCCATGCAAGGAAAATGTAGAAAGTAAAGTTTTACTCCTAATAGATATATTGAAATTCTATAAAAGACTAATTTGGCAGCCAGTAAACTTAAACAACTTTGGGAATACTATCTAAAATCAAAATCAATCTAAATCAGGGAAAGCCTTGATTTTAATACTCATCTTACATTTGTAAGATCTGACAATATCAACAAAAACATTAAATAATGGTGATGCTACACGCACAAGAAAACAATTTGATGTTACACACAGGGTGTATCCATTTTCATACATGTACATGATAAGATATAAAAGATGCAGAAATAGTTTGTGTACCGAGGGTCCCCTCCCTTTTAAGCTTTTTTTTAAATTTTTTTATCTAAAATATCAATCCAAAGTCTTACATTATTAGTGGCCCTAGCATCGCAATGTCTTCGTCATACACGTACTCGCCATTCCGTTTGTTTGTAACAAAACGCGTAGGAATATGTGATACAGATACACACACCCGATGACATTTCAACCGTGGAATTGGTACCACGCAAACAAAATTGGCAATAACCAATGAAAATTACAAAAATAGCAACAACTGCATTAAAATTTAATTTGGTATTATTATAACTTAGAGTCACTAGGAGAGCTCGACTATTTGAATATTTAATGGAAATTCGTTGTCGAAATGTTCGAAAAAAACTGCATAGAAAGGTTACCCTGAAAAAAATCATACGCCCTTTACAACAAATTTTACAATTAAAAAAACGCATAACCGAAAACGGTGTCGTTAATATCATAGTAAATTACCGGGATCGCTTATAATTTATCGAAACAGGTAAACACCAGTATAAAACTACAAATCAGTTTCATTATATTACACAACATCCTGTAAAAAGTGGTCTTTTAGTACATCAATTATGATCTTCTACGATTAAAGTAGACAACTATTCCAATACTCACCGAGTCTAAATGCTTATTTATTTAGGAGACCCTGATATTAGACTAATTCACCAAAAATCTAGGAAAAAAAAATAACTAGAAGAGATTTCAGACTCGGAGTCCGAGTACGAGTGCGACTACATGTGATACAGGTACTTAAAAGGGGTGATCTTAAAAGAGTGTGTACGCTATATAATTTTACCATACTCGATCTTTGGGCGGAGATAGGACAAAACCATTTATCAAATTAATTAAACACTTTTTAATTTTTTTACTGTGAAAAACGCCTTTTTTATGCTGGCTTACAGATATGTTCATAATTTTAAAACTTTCACAACAACATTTTTTTGCTCCTGTTACCTGATAATTTTTATCGTTGACGTAAAAAACACCCCGTTTTCAAGTTAAATTATCCTTTGCTAACTGACGAATTATTAAAAAGGGAATAGGATAATACTTTTGTTCCGTTTTTTTTTTTGTCTGGAAAGGGGGTGGGCTAGTTCCACTGTGTATAGTCTTGGAAGATAGGATAAACATTTCCAATTGAATGATTCTTATTGTATCAAACATTTTTTGGTAAGGAATTTGAATATGTGTTTTTTGTCTTTGTTTTTTTTTTAGCTGCCAGTGAATTGTAATGCATACTCCTGTTTGCATTGATTTTAATCAGAGAAAAAGGAGTTTATAAGTTTTGTGGATCATTTTGAATATCCAATGAGTATATATTTAATTCTTTTACCTTCTTAGTCATTCCAAACAGCATCCCTATCGAAGTAATGTGCAACTGTTTGTATTTGAATAAAAGAAAGTCATACGATGCTTCATTTTTTTCAAATAGACAATTCTACAAGATAATTATTATTCTAATATTTCAGCTGTTTAGTTGGGAGTATCCTTTTTAAATTTTTTATTGACAAATAAATAGAGTGTTCTATGTTAGCATTCCTGTAATAATTTCAGAAGGAAAAATTTAAATTGAGCAACAAACGATACAAACGATGACTGACGCGAAGTGATGACAAAACCTCACCCGTTACGTAGATTGAAATGAAATAGAAAGGGAAGAAAGAATCAAAACGACTGGACGGAGAAGTGTTATGGAGGAACACGGAAGGTACTTGTAAGTGGATGTGGCTTGAGGGAAAATGTACTTCACCTTTCATTCAATCGGGGAGCAATAACACTGAAAGTTTCATGGTTAGTGCGAACCGTCTGCATATAAGGTTCTTTTTTTTCTTTCTTTTCGGGGGATTTCTTTTCTTGTAGGTTCAAAATTTCTAGGAGAATCATTGATGTTATCTGCAGGAGCATCATTATTATTTTCTGCACTTCCAGTTGTAGCATTTTCTGTAGAAATTTCTGCAGCTTTTACTTAGCATTGTCTGCATTGAAATCTCCATTTTTAGGCCCAATATCCAGTTTTCTAATTTCAGGTTCCTCAACTGCTAGTACAGGAGTAGCTGGCTTCTGATCCTCGTCAACAGAAAGATATTTGATTATTTCATCAGCCGTTTATCAGACATTTCAGATAACCAGAAAGCTGGAACACATAAAGAGAAAGTGTAGGAAGCTAAACAGATTCATTACAGAATACCGAGTCTCCGTTGAGCATGTTATTGGCTATAAAGTCATGAAGGCATCTTCGTCACAAACGTTAAGCCATATAAG